TCTTCCCTTAGTACTTTCCTCTGGTCCAAAGTTGAGGTTTCTTTTAGGTTAGTTTCCTCCGGCTCCTCTTTGGATTGGTCTACATCATCTGGCACATTTCCTTCTTCGTTATTCCCAACTGCTTGTTGACTATAATTTTCCCGATGTTGATTGGATAATTTTGCCTCTTGATAGTGGGATGTCACTATCTCTAGTATTGTCTGAAGAGCAGATTTTGTTTCCTCCCAAAATTGTCCTTGTGCCATTCGGGAAGCAGAATATTCTTTTGGAGATATGAAAAAACAGTATTTTCCTAAGAGAGAAACATATTCATTAAAACAATCTGTTGGTTTTCTCGAAGGCTTTCATGGCTGGGATCTGATTGTTGTTGTGGGTTTTTCGGGCTCTTTGGCCATGTTCTGAAGGTTGTTCTTCCTGACGTTTCACCAGTCTGTGTGGTCGGCATCTTCAGAGGACTGGAGTAGGAACTCTGGCCATGCTCTGTCCATGCATAGAGCATGGACAGTTCCTACTTCTGTCCTCTGAAGATGCCGGCCACAGAGACTGGCGAAACGTCAGGAAGAACAACCTTCAGAACACTGCCAAAGAGCCCAAAAAACCCACAACAACAATCTGTTGGTTCTTGATAGGTGGAATTAAGAACTAAGCCTATATTTAATCCAATCTCTTTTATTTTATGAATCATTTGAACCATTTATACGTTAATAATGATACATTGCTAGTGTTAACGTTCAAATATGTAAACATATTTTTTAAAAATTGTTTTTTAAAAGGTGGGTTTCATGGTGACATGGTCTTGTGCTCATGTGTATGAATCAATTTCCATTAACAGACAAGAGCTATTGAGCAAGACATGAAGATTCCAAAAGATTATGATGCTACGTCGAAGCAAGAAGTACGAGAAGACAAACTGAATCAAGGGGACTTAAACGTCATAAATAATGAGTTGGGTGAGATGCCTGATGAAGTAAGCACTGGTGTAACTCTCCAGGAAGCTTTGACCAAAATAACTCTGAATGAAGATATGGATTGGATTCCCAAAGAGATATCAGATAACAGAGAGGAAAACCAGTTGGAACATTATAATGTAACTGAGAATGAATCTGGTAGACAAATGGAAGATGACAGATGAGAAACACAAATCAAGTATAGACTTTAATTCAAAATAGCAACACAATTGCTATTTTTACTTGGAAGTAAGTCCCATCATGGCTTTCCTCCAAGACAATGTATATAGAAGTGCCGCCTAAAGCTAAAAAGCTCCTAAATGAGATTAGAGTTTCCTATTTCTCTAGTTTGCTGTATTCTGATATGAATGATGGTGTCCTCATAAGACAGTATCTACTGTTTCTAGTGTTACATGACATGGCCATGTACATGCAGAGATAGGTACTAATACATAGCCTTGGAAAACTGAGTACTGTACAGTGGTGCCCCGCTTGACGACGATAATCTGTTCCAGGAAAATCGCTGTTAAGCGAAATCATCATCAAGCGAAAAAAAACTCAGTGGAATGCATTGAAAACCGGTCAATGCATTCCAATGGGGGAAATACCTCATCGCCCAGCGAAGATCGCCCATAGAGAACCGCCGATCAACTGTTCTAATTTGCTGTAATGCGAAGCTTCCGTCCGGAAAGCAGCCATTTTGAGAAGGGGGGAAGCCATTTTATGAAGGGAAGCCATTTTGCGGAGCCGGAAAAATCGTCATTTAGCAAACAAACGGTTTGCGAAGCAGGCTCCTAATCGACGTCAAGCAGAAAAACCCCATTGGAACCATCATTTTGTGATCACAATAGCAATCGCAAAAAACTCATGGTAAAGCAATTTTGACGTCATGCGGGGTAAGCGTCTAGTGGGGCACCACTGTATATTCTTCACTTTTGTCTAGATCATGTCTTTTTCCATGCATTTGTATATTCCTTCTGTTGCGAAACAAACAAACATAAAACACCCCAAACTTAATTACACTCAAAAGCCTCTCTGAATTGAACCTTCCTGGTTCCTCAACCTTCCTGGCTCCACAAGGGCATCTGGAATTTTGAGTTTCTGGATAGCATCACAAAAGGATTGCCATATGGGAATGTCTGTTCACAATATGCTTTCTTTGTGACACTCAGACTCAGAAAGAGGAAAGACAGAAACAAACAAACAAACAGGCACACAGATGGGAAGAAACAGAGAGAGAGAGAGAACAAACTGAAGAGAGGGTATGGCAAAACTGTCTCCCTACATAGATTCAAAGAGAGGATGGAAGGAGCTACAGGTGCAAGAGGAACTGCTCCACAGATTCTCTCTCTCTCTCCCCCCCCCAACATATCCAGAGATTCGGTCCCAGTTCAACACTTATCATGAAACCTCACATGCAGATTCTTTTAAAAAGTTACATTTATTTAAGCTAGTTCATAGACAGCCAGCTTTGGTGATACGGGAGCAGAGCACTGTCCTCCTGGTGTCAACCCCTTTTGTGCATTGTTAATGTAGGAAAGGCTTCAGCTGCCACCCCACCATGGAAAATGAAACAGGTGTCCATTGATTTGCTTTTCCTAACTTAGTTTTATCCAACAATTAGGCTATGTTATAAGAGGTTATAA